GGTACAACTGGCAGTTAAAGAGAGCGCAGCATTCAAAAAATGGCTTAGAAACAAAGAGGCTTCTACTGGCGTGCTATATCTGGAGCGCAACGCGGCTGCGATAGCAGAGGCGAAATCCAAAGCTGAATCCTTAGAGAAGTTCGGTGAAGTGTCTTCCACCAGGCAAACAAAGCGGACTATCCACCGACTCAATGGTGAAAAAAAGGACAGTCTCAGAGTTCTAAAGATCAGGTTTGGATACCCTCTTACCAAGAATGGACATTCTTCAGCGTTGGCGAGAGTACTTTGAGTAATTCCTTAACCCCGAGCAACTGCAGGAGGACTCGCCTATAGAGTAGCAGGGAACGGGTACTATTTGCGTAGACGAAATTACACAAGCTGTGAAAAGCTTGGAAAATGGAAAGGATGCTGGAATTAATGAAATCCGCTTTGAAATGCTCAAGGCATTAAGCAAACAAGGCATGCGCTGGCTTACACGTGTCTGTCAAACTGCAATGACCACTGGGAAGACAGCTGCGCATGGGACACAGAAGTAGTTGTACCACTATTCCAGAAGTGAGATCACAGGGACTGCTCCAATTCTAGGGTCATTACGATATTGAATCTCCTGGGTAGAGTCTACGCAAGGGTAGTAGATAGGAGGTGCCGCGGAATAACTTACTCTAAGATATAAGAATAGCAGTGTGCCTTCAGGCCCAGTCCAAGCACCTCTGACCATAAAAATGAACTTTGCCAGATTGTTGAGGAATCGTCAGAGTAAGCGTGTCCGGTGTGTTTTGTTGACCTAGAAAACGCCTACGGCCGGACGCCGTGTAACAATCTATGATCATGCCTGTGAGCATACGGGAGAGATGGCCAGCTTCTAAGGGCCATCCAATCAGTGTATTCTGATAGCAGGTACTGCGCCAGTGCACATGACGTTAAATCGAAGCCTTTTAACGTTGGCACTGGTCTCTACCAAGGCTGCATCCTGTCTTCTCTCCTGTTTGTGCTGTACATGGATAGAACAGTCAGGAGCAGCCAAGGCGATAACCGTGTCAGTGTACGATATGTGGAAACGATAAGATTGCTGTTTGCAGACGACCTCGTTTTATTGAGCTCTTGGGAAGCCGATCTACAGTGTTCTCAGGAAACGTTCGCAGCCGAGTACGATGTGACCGGCATGCGTGTGAGCGCATCTAAAACGAAGCCTAGTACTTTCTCGTTCTCATGCTCGTTGTTTTCTTCAAATTAATAGAGAGACAGTGGAGCAGGTGGAGAAGTTCAAGTACCTCGGAAATGTATTTACTAGTGATGGAAAGTTGGAGGAAGAGATCGACTTGCGAATTGGAATAGCCACTGGCGTTCTGTGTGAATTAGCCCGAACCATTGTGACTAAAGCAGAGCTCAGTGTGAAAAACTAGGCTCTCGGTGTTCAAGTCGATGTTTATCCCCATGCTTACCTACGGTCATGAATCGTGGACCATCACTGGAAAACTTCGAACCCTGGTACAAGCTGCTGAAATGGGCACCCTTAAACGAGTCATTGGACTTTCGTATCTGGACATGGTCCGGAATACTGATTTCTGGTAGAGCCTTGGTATACAGCTTTTGCTTCTCAGCTGCGATGGCTTGGGCATGTGTTGTGAATGCCTCGGAATCGCAACTGTTTTTTGCAAATCCGACGGCACAAGGTCCAGGGGACGGCCAAGATTGACCCGGTGCAAATATATGGAACGAGTCTGTTCCAGGCTCCAGTTGACTTCTTCCGTTCCATGGAAGATGAAGAGTTAAAATCTTTCGATTGCATTGCACGCTGGTAAATTTTTTCATATTTGGTA